CAATGTACATTTTTGTTCTTATTATGTTTGTTAACAAAAATACAAACAAACTGAAGAAAAGGCAAGAACATTGATGTCAAACGAATATGCATCCTCATTCATCCTGATTTCTACAGTATCAAAACTACGTGTTGTGGTGGTCTTTCTTTTATGTACTGCGTTATGACGTTTTGTGAAAAACCTGTACGCGATGGAGAAAAATGGATATCATTTTCGAATTCGGCGTACAGGAATTACTGTAGAACATGTAAAACTTTCAAGACAATAAAAACATCGCAGGCCTGTGTAATCGAAGATATTGTGGTAACATTAGGTAGTTGCTATAGTAGCGCGACCTAAAACGATTTACAAAAAAATAGTAGAACATGTTATACGTGATCCTTTATACATGTTCGCAAAATATTTCACTCTTAACGTTACGCAGTCCTGCCTACAGACTGTTACAAATATCCATACTGATTTATGACCACGATTTACTCCAACGATGCGAGAGATTCATTATTTATTAGAACAAAAACACTTTTAAACGTTTTAACGAAGTTTATTCTTATAGTTAGACGATAAAAATGGGTTTAAATAAATAGTAAACTTAAGAAAATAAGATAATATTTAGACGTCAAAAATTTGGTCTTTTCCTGATGTTTGCTCACAAATTGATTATTGTTAATGATTAATTGATTTACTGTCTTTGGTTTATAAACGAATAGGGACATTATCATTTAATACATTGTTTAACTCATAGGTTGAAGTATGTAAGCTGCGTAACCTTTGTACTGTTTTTTTGGGTGCGTGTGTGGTTTCAGAATTGGATTTTCTAAGTGTATAAATTCGTTAGTATTATCAAAAGCTTGAAGAAAAATAAGCGTTTTCACGAGGTATTCAATAGAATATATATTTTATTTGTTGTTGAATTGCAGAAACTGTAATTTTCATTTGATCTAAGCATGTTCGATTTTCATCAAACTGGCTTCAGTTGATTTTCTTTCAACATTTAACGTATAATCGCATTTCACTTTTCCAGAAGAAAAAAAAAAACACTGATAACGTATTGCACTGGAAGCATTTCAGCCATAGTGGCATAATGAATTGTATCACCACGCATACACTTATAGGCGTACATAAAAGCTTCTAGAGAAGAAAACATTCTTAAAAGTTTTGAGGATGAAAAACAAAATCCTTATCTCTGAAATTACACTCTCTATTAACCACAGGGTTTTATTTCTCTTTGTTCTTTCTTCGGGATAAGAAGATGACACGGATGTATTTTCTAACGTACACTCTACACGTGAAATTCTTAGTTATCGTCCTCGTCGCTGAAAGATTATGATGCTTTTCCTACTTCCTGTTTAAGACAGGTAATTAAAGTGTTTAGTTGTGAAAGTTATCATGTATATGAACAGCATGCATTTTGTTGTTATGGTAGTAGAACGATCATAATTTCTATCATGCTACACAGTAATGCCTGCTAGGTAAAGATAAATTAACGAATGCTGTATTATTAATTCCTGGAATGTTGTGTTTTGAAATTTTCCAGATTACATAGACAGCCTACAGACAACGAAAGTAGGTGATAATTTATTTAATTTAGTAGTTAGATAATCTTATTAGACAAATTAAGTTTCTCTGCAGTGGCACTAGGAGTTTGATTATAAAATGAAAACGACAAGCTGATGCTTTAAGTAATGAAAATAGTCTGAATGTGAAATTGTATTAAGGTCTGAAATCAAACGGAAACAAGCCTAATTCCCTTTTTATGGGCAAACTGTTCGGATGTAATAAGCTTTACAGCAGAAAATTCGTTTAAAATATGGACGTGTCGAAGTATCTTGCACATGCATGAATTAGATGATTGTATAAATATGGTGTATTTTTCTTTCAAAATCCTAGGTGGACGAGATGATTATTAAATCTTGAAATTTGTATTCAAATGTATGGGCTCAGTATGAGCTAACAGAACCTATAGAAGGCAAACACGCGCAGCGTCATTACTCTTAGAAACGTAATACAACAGACAATATTATAAGATAACAACGACAAAAAACACGTGTCACCATGGAGAAGAAGTAACGCAAGTGCTACACGACTTTACATATATTTAGATATCCTATTTTAGTTAACTAGAAATGCCTAGTAACCAGGTTTATGTAAGAAAGCTTTTAATTATTATGGGAATACCACACAAGTTATCTGCACACCTTGTGTTTATCACTACAAGTGCCTAGCAACCAAGTTCGAAAAAGTTTTTAGTTATTAACTTACTTATTTATTTGATTATTTGTTACTAAGTACAAAGTTATATGACAGGCTATCTGTGCTGTGCCCACCGCGAGTATCGAAACCCGACTTTTAGCGTTATAAGCCCCAAACTTATCGCTGAGTCACCTAGCGGGGGTATTATTTATTAAAAGTCAGACCTTTGTGAATATGGATGTTGGAACAAAGACCATGACATTGAACCAACACGATTCAATAATCTGGTGGACAATGTAACCGATGAAATAGCCGAATAAATATTTCTTTTATCGCAATGATAGTCTAGATTTCAGAAAGAAATATTCCAACAAAAGACAAAAGGGTTGTGTTATCTTAAGTTTATTTTCACTCTACCTTAGTCTTACGCAGAACAGCTATGTATTTTTTTTACCACACAACCTGTTTTTTTTATGTCGAAATATCGTCTCACAATAGTTAGATAAAGTTCGTTGAAGGATACGGCTAATGCTTTCGTTGCAAAGCCCGTTGTTACCTGGTCAACAATTTTATAGCCCAATATACAATATAAGAGAATAATATTTATACTTTGTTATACAAAATTGCTCATTATACATACAAACCAAGAGGAGTTTAGAATATACTAACCCTGAAGACATTAAGTTTAAAAGTCTAATATAAACCAAAATTTAAAAAAATATATAGTTAAAAAGTTATTAAATCTAAAATAATTACACACGTTGATAATTGAGCTTTTACTTACCTCAGAATTCGTCACTTAGATCTTTAAAATTATGTAAAATGTGCAAATTTTATTTATTCAATATTAAATGTGCTAAAACCAAGATAAACTACATGGTTAAATTAGACACTATTACATTTTATTTGTAAACAGCATGTTATTACACAACGTAAAAATTGAAATATTTAACAGAAAGTCTGTATAAAAACCAAGTCCAGGTTAGTAGTAACCTTGTAGTCAGTTTAAATGCTGTAAATGGTATCTTTTGTATTTAGCACAATGATTGCTGTCCATCTTAAGTTAGTCTTTCAAATTAGTACGCCTTCGTGGTTAATCGACGAGTCTGAAGTCTTATAACGCTAAAGATCGGTTTTCGATACCCGCGATGAGCAGCATAGATAGCCCATTGTGTGTGTAACTTTGGGCTTAACAACAAACAAACTGGTGTAGTTGCTGATTATTCAATCTGATATAATGAATTAATTAGCACTGAAAATGTACATTAATTAGTATATATTTTTTCTTACATTATCTTAGCTATAATTATAAATAGTTTATTCGGACAAACAAAATGTAGTTAAAGCAATACATGTCTTACCTCGTTAATCTAATGAACAGCATTACAGATTTTTTTTTTTTTGTATAACTGAACTCATCAGCTGGATTATAGTTATGGCAACCGGAACTCTATGTGAAAAGTATTACAAGTAACTCTGATTCGAAATCCACAATGAAGCAATTAAAGATTAATTTCATAGAATCATTTGCAGCCATGCACGATTCTTATCACAATTGTTAGGGTCACTGAG